TATTGCATTTGCTTGGATTGTGCTGCATGAAGTAGATGTTCAATAAATATTGATGACAGTGCTAGTAGTAGAAATATATAGAAGAGAGAAAAAAAGCATTGGTAGACATGGCTGGAGCTTACAAAACCACAGGAGGCAGAATGGTATTTTGGTAGCGTACTGACAATCTGATACTAGTTTGTCCTGGCAAATCATGCTGTCAAGGAAAAGGATACGGTTGGGGTCAGACACACTCGGGTTATGACTGAAATTATGTTAATCATTGTAAGTATAAGTTGGGGAGAAAGCTACCTGATCCTTCTAGCCCTCAGAAAGATAAAGATATAAATTGAAAATGAATACCAACCTTGCCAGGAGGGTTTCTGAAACATTTGGGATGATGTCAAGTTAAGCGTTTAGCAATCATGGTACATGGTAGGTATACAATTTGAGATTGTCATTATTCTTACTGTTGTTATTGTTCGTGGTATTGCTATTAGGCCCCTATATTGGGAAAGGTGGTACACATCAATGGACTTGTGAATGGGCGTGCCCTCACCACTTCTTTTGTCAAAGGATAACAATGTTCCAGAAGAAGGAAATTGGAGAAAATCAAGACCCCACGACTCTCCCGAATCTTCACCTTGCCCACAAGTCTTTAGCTATTTACTGGAACTTTTCCAGAGGCACCCAAAGCCAAACTCCAACACCCAAGCTTGGCACTACCAGTCAAATCTAAAACGAGGTCCCTCAGGCTACTACTCTGAGCTGGAATGCGAATCTATGGAGCAAAACCTTGGGATCCCCATCACTCAAGGCCCTGAAAACTGATGCCAGGCCTTCTTTCTTCCCATGTGAAATTATATTTCTTGTGTGAGGCCGTTCTTGCATTGCTATAAAGAAAAACCTGAGACTGGGTTATTTATAAGAATAGAGGTTTAATTGGCTTATGGTTCTGCAGGCTGTACAGTACGAATAGTGCCTGCATCTGCTTCTGAGGAGGCCTCAAGAAGCTTTCACTCTTGGCAGAAGGCAAAGCCGGAGCAGGCACTTCATAGGGAGAAAGCAAGAGCAAGAGAGAGAGTGGCAGGGGGCGGGTGCCACACACTTTTAACTGACCAGATCTTGTGACAACTCACTATCGCAAAGACAGCACCAAGTCATGAGGGATCCACCCCTGTGACCCAGACACCTGGTGGGGGGGCAGAGCTCCAACACTGGGGATTAAAATTCAACATGAGATTAGGGTGGGGACAAATATCCAAACTATACCATTTCTTAGCTCTCTGATGTTATTTTTAAGTGTTCTTTCATTAAAATAGCCACAATTGTTTCTTCTTGATTTAGGATTCTTATCTCAGGTGTTGTTGATATCCTGAATCAATGGAAAACAAATAGGCCATGTAATAGCTGAGATTTTTATTGATCTATTTTGCATTTCCAGCTTTGAGAATTCATGTGAGTGGCTCCACCATAGCCATCCTGAAGAGAACTGAGTGCCAGTTCCTGTATGAAGTGAGAGGAGAAACGTACTTAAAGGTAAGGAGTCCACAGAGACAATACATGGAAAAAGCTCTCAGACATGCTTGGGCCACCTCCTTTGAGCCTTGGCCAGGAAAGTTGAGGAGCATGCTCATCCTTTTCTGTACTCGTCACAGTGAGCACCCTCCATGCTCTGCAAGAGAAATGACCACCAAAAAATGTGAACTCAGAATTTTCCTTTACTCCAAAGAGCCCTTTTGACATTCTGAACTCTGCCACCATTTCCCCTGCCATATCCAGGTTTTGTCTGCAGTTCTTCCTCCAAACACAAGAGCTACATACTGTCTGGTCCAGGACTTATTTAATTTAAATCAAAACCCTTGTCCTCCCACTTACTTCCCTACTCTTACTACACAACGCTGCTATGATCTGAGGTCACCTCTCTTGCCAGTTGCTTTACTATTCCGAAGCTCTAGAATCACAAGGAGTGAATGACAAGGTGTGGCCCCATTCTCCTCCTCCTCCTCATCTGGAAGTTTGTTAAAATGCAGATGTCTGGACACTCCACCAGGCCTGCTATGCAAGATTCTCTGTGGGTGTAGATCAGGAATCTATATTTTTAACAAGATGATGTGTTTTTTAACAAGATGACCACACTAATATTTGAGAATCACTACTCTAGTGTCTTCATGCAGTTCCTCACATTTAAAACAGCTGCCCTCCAAAGCCATCAGATGTCTCCAGTTGCTTCTCAGGCTGCTTTTCCAAAGTTATTACAATCTTTTCACCACTGGCAAAGCAACTATTAACTGTAAGTTACCTGCCCCCAGTAGCCATAGTGCTTCTGGCCTTTGTATTTTGATTGCACCTTGGAAAAGTCTCCTTTTATGTAAGTGTCCTAACATCATCACACTTGCTTTTTGAGTCCTCCATAGATACATTTTTTACAAAGAACATTTACCCCAAAATAGAACCGGTTTATGGATTACTATGGTCCAAACACAGCCAATGAACCACTATTTTTTTAAATGAGTTTAATAATATGTAACAGTTATATATATATATCATTCATTTTTAAATTATTGATCTATATTACAGATATATATTATTACACTTTTTTTTTTAAATAATGGTTCACTGGCTGTGTTTGGACAATATGTATTTTGTATCTCTTTTTCAAATACCAGCTTTAGCAAAAACAGAGTTTCCAGTATTCCAGTAAATTTCCATACATTCCGTAGCCTCCAGATGGACCCCACAAATGCCACTTAATGAGTTCTTAATTGTGCTGTACATGTGTTTGTAATAAGATAGGGAAACTGTAGCAAAAGTTTTGTGACAAAACTTTATTGAAAAAAAGGCTAGAAGGAAATATGGACGACAAGCAGTTGGATTTGTTGACGTAGCAGAATTGCAGATGAATTTTCTTCCTTTTTAAGTTAGAGTTCTTGTGATGTTGCTAGAGTGATATTTTAAAATGTCTTTTGGGGAAAAAAAAGAAAACTCTACTTTAAGAAAAGGATGTCTGCTGAATGAGAAACTTATTTTTAAAAAGGCACTTGGAAATAAAAATCTGTCTAGAGATAATGCAAATCGTAACAGGAATGTGTGATGTGCTTAAATATTGGCACTGATGAGAAATGCGGAAGTGAAACATGGCATGGAAACAGATCACGATGGGAACAGTGGTCTACAGCTGAACTGACTCATTGGCCTCCGTGGTACCTAACTCTTTTGTCTTACCAGGGAAGGGGAAATGAGACTACCTACTGGCTGACCGGGATGAAGGACCAGAAATTCAACCTGCCAACCCCTCCTACAGTGTAAGCTTCTGGGTGTGGCAGGGACAGGGAGGAAATCAGAGATCTTGGCTTTGTAAGTTACGCTACTTAAAGCCAATTTAAGTTGGCAAGTGCCTTACAAGTGGCATATATTGCATAAGAAGGGACTATACATGAGAAGGTTTAGAAACCTCCCTTCTTAGACTGCAAGAAGGGAATTATCCTGAAAGCCTGCATTTTCCTGAGACCTCAATGACAACAGAAAAGTATTTAGCCTTGGCTTCCCCGTCTGGAACATAGACCTTGCTTCCATGAATCAGATGTGTCGTCTCAGTATAAAACTACCTTTTTTTTTTTTTTAAGCTCTGGATCCTTTATCCCAAGAAGGAGCTTCCACCTGGAAAAGAGGAGGAATGAACAGACTATTTAGAACTTGAGGAGATTTTGTTATTTCATTTGTTTCATTTTGTTTACTGGCTCTGTATTCATGATATTTTTAACTGGCAAAATTATGTTTTAAATGTCTTATCTCCATTGAAGTATACTTACAGTTTATGCAGAAAATATACTATATATTAGACAAGAACGAGTTAAAAGTTTCCTGAGTCTGGGTACGAGCTTCTACCTATTCTGCCCACTTTCCTAGACTGTGCCAGTCATCATTTTGTCCCTGCTGAAAAACTGACTATAGTGCCCTGCAATAAAGCAATGGCAAAGCTAGCATTGTATTCCAGGCTCACTCGGGAGAACAGAAGACACTTTAGAGTTCACCTCATGCGTGTCTGGTTCTCACAGGAGTGGAGCACACTGGGGGCAAAGAGGCTCTCTGCATTCCACTCCTGTCTTCATCTTTCTGTTGAGTTGCCTAATGAAAACAGGACCTGCCTCAGCCCCAAGACTGTGGTTCTGGGTCTTAACATGAAGTCTGTGTTCTCCGAGATGAGGAAGACAAAGTTTCAGGGTTAACTGACAGGTTTCAGTTCTCCTAAAGGTGACTCAAGTTGTCATCCAGTTGCCTATCAATACATGTTATTGCAACCAGATGGCCATTTCCTTGGCTTTTGCTATGGTTGAGAAACTCTGTCTTGCAGAGGCCTAGATGGCAGACCGAGGGAGATGGCAAGCTTCTAGAAAAGCCAAAACAACCGAAATCTTCCCTGGGGCATGAGAAACCTAGCTCCTTACTTGGAGTGTCCCAAATCCATTCTAAACTCGTGGCCCCCTCCACCATTCTAAGCCTTCCCCAAACAAGACTCACACTGTGAAGTATGTGTGGGACCAATGAGTTTTCAGGGTTGTGTGGCAGGGGCCGAGCATCCTCCCTGCTTCTTTTCCCCTTCCTGCAGTGGCATATGTAAACCTAGGTCCTCCCAACCATGCCTCCAAATTCCAGCAGCAGATCGTTTCACTTTGAAATTGAAGTCTAATTTCCTAGCAGAGATAACAGATTTTTAAGCTCATCAAAGGCAGGGATCATTTCGTATTCTTTGGATTTCCTGTGTCTCGCACAGAATAGGCATGCAAAGAGTAACTGAGTAACTGAACTGATTATTCTGGAGCTAAGGAATATTCTGTATGAATTGCTGAGAAGTTCTATTTTCTCTTCCCACCCTGTTTGCAGGGAGAATCAACAGCGTTTGCAAGCAGAATTTTCAGACATGATTGCCAACTCCTTACAGAAAAGACAGGCAGCAGGGATAAGAAGCCAAAAACCCAGACGAGTAGCCAGCTATAAAAAAGGCACTCTGGAATACTTGCAACTGAATACCACAGACAAGGAGAGCACCTATTTTTAAACCTAAATGAGGTGTAAGGACTCACGCAAATTAAAATACAGCTGCACGGAGGCAGCGACCTCAAGTGTCCTGAAAGCCTGCGTTTTCCTGAGACCTCAGTGAAGCAGAAATGTACCTAGGCTTGGCTGCCCTGTCTGGAGCATGGACTTTTTGCATGAATCAGATGTGTGTTCTCAGTGAACTACTTACCTTCCTCTCTGGAGCCTCATTCCAGCAGTTGTTCCAGGCAGCTTCCACCTGGAAAAGAAAAGAAATGAATAGACTATCTAGAACTTGAGAAGATTTTATTCTTATTTCATTTATTTTTTGTTTGTTTGTTTTTATTGTTTTTGTTTACTGGCTCTTTTTCCTTCTGTATTCATAAGATTTTTTAAATTGTCATAATTATATTTTAAATACCTTATCTTCATTAAAGTATATTTAACTCATAATTTTTGCAGAAAATATGCTCTATATTAGGAAAGAATAAAAGCTAAAGGTTTCCCAAGACTGTGTATGCGTTTCTACCTATTTTGCCCGTTTTCCTGGAATACATCAGTCACATCATCTTGCGCTTACTGAAAAACTGACTACATTCACTCACCTTGAATTATGGCAAAGCTAGCATTGTTACTCAAGGGTGAGAACGCTGAAGGTTAGTATCACCTGCTACACGTGAGGGAATTTCTGACCTTTAAACAGAGGTGTTGCTTCAGCTTGTCCAATTAACAATGTGGATGGCAGTGATCTAAGTATGAGACCAAGACAAAAGTCAAGTTCCTGTACCGTACTTTTCTAACTATAAAGTAATCCATGTCTCCAAGCTCCTGATCTTTCATCAGTAAATTATGAATCATAATACCCACTTCATTTTAGACTGCGCCACCCCCAAGCTGGCATAACACCACTCACAGATAATTTCCTTAGACCCACAGTTTACAAGGTAAAAGGAGAAAATTGGAGATGGAAGTTTGATCTCCCCACCAGTCTGAGAATCTTCACAAGAAGCTCACTCTGGTCCTGTCTCATGAACCACTCTGAGTACCAGGCAGGCTGAAACACCAGGGGTGAACTGGGGACGAAAAGCGGAGGTGCTGATTGCTGAAACTGACATGCAGACCTTGCAGCTGCTCTGCTCCAATCAGCAGAGATGCCACACTGAGAAAACTGGATGATGCAACAGTCTTACTAGACGCAAAACCCACAGGAAAGCCTGAATCCCTGGTTAGATTTCCCACAAAGCCCAGTGCTAATGTGGAATCTTCTCACTTCGAAACAACTAAAAGGTTTTTTCCTTTTAAACAACCTTTAAATTCTAGCATTCTCTTAAGGCTTCCCCAGACCAGGAAGCAACAGCAGACCAGTGACTAAGTTACAATATTAAGCACTAAAGGTCTAACACCACCAAAGAATGACTGTAAAAGCTGGAAGAGGTGACCATCTCCTCAAATGTGCAGCATCAATGTAAAGACACAAGGATTGTGAAAACTCAGGGAAATATGATACCATCAAAAGAAATCAACAAAGCTCCAGTAATAGACCCCAAATAATTGGGGTCTATCAGACATGTCAGCAACATGTCTGACAGAATTCAGAAAAATCTTCTTAAAGAGTTCAGAGAAGCACAAGAAAGTATAGATTAAAAAATTAAATGAAATTTGAAAAACAATCCAGGAACAAAACAAGAAAATTGACAAAGGAAAAAAATGTAAAAACACACATAAAAATAGAAATCTTAGACATAAAGGATATAATAGCTAAACTGAAAAAGCTCATTATAAAGCCTCAATAGCATGTTTAATCAGAGGAAATAATGAATAGGCTTGAAGACAGGACATATGAAATTACCCAACAGAAAAGAAGAATTAAAAAGGATTATAGGATACCATCAAGCAAACTAACCTTCATATAAGAATTCCTGAAGAAGATGAGAAAGAAAAGGGTCGTATTTTAAAAATTATAGCTGAAAGATTTTCAAACTGAAGAAAGCACTCAGGTACAGGAAGCTCAGAGGTCACCAGTCAAATTCAGAGAGGAATTCCCCAAATCATATCATAATAAAATTATCAAAAATCAAAGATAAAGAAGAAATATTCAAACCAGGAAGAGAAAAAAAAGCACACTCAATAGAGCTCCAATATAGCTTGCAGTAGATCTCTTAGCAGAAACTTTGCAGACTAGGAGAGAGTGAGATATATATTCAAAGTGTTGAGAAAAAGAAACTGTCAGCTAAGAATACTGTACCCAACAAAGCTATCTTTCAAACATGAGGAACAGATAAAGACATTGCCAGACCGGGAGAAAAAAAGAAGACCCTGAGGGAATTAATCAACATGAGGTTTTTCATACAAGAAATGCTAATGGGAGTCCAGCAGTCTGAAAGAGAAGAATGTTAACATATAACAAGAAAACATCTGACGGTATAAAACTCACTGGTAAAAGTAAGAATAGAAATTCAGAATAATACTGTAATTATGGTATATAAACTGATAATATCTTATTTATGAAGACTAAAACTTATTAAAGATAATAACTACAACAATTGGTTGAAAGGCAATATAAAGAGATGTAAACCAAAACATCAAAAAGTCAAAACATGGAGGGGGAATGATGTTAAAGTATAGTATGTTTTGTTGCTTTGCTTTCCTTTGCAATCAAAGCTAAGTTCTTTTCAGTTTAAAATAACTTATTATAACTATAAAATGTTTTATGTAAGCCTCATAGTAACCACAAAGAAAGAAATCTATAATAGAGCCACTGACAATAAATAGCACAGAATTAAAACATACTAGTAGAGAAAATTACTTAACCACAGAGGAAGACAGTATGAGAGGAAGAAAATAAAAAAATTACCAGAAAAAATACAAAAAAAAACACTTAAAAGAATGGCAACAGAAAACATGTTCCTATCAATAATAACCTTGAATGTAAATGGATTATATACTCCAATTAAAAGACATAGAGTAGGGCAGGTACGATGGCCCAACGCCTGTAATCCCAGTACTTTGGGAGGCTGAGGCAGTTGGATCACTTGAGGCCAGGAGTTTGAGACCAGCCTGGCCAACACGGTGAAACTCTATCTCTACTAAAAATACAAAAATTAGCCAGCATGGTGGCACACACCTGTAATCCCAGCTATTCAGGTAGCTGAGACACAAAAATCACTTGAACCCAGAAGGTGGAGGTTGCAGTGAGCCGAGATCATGCCACTGCACTCCAGCCTGGGCAACAGAGTGAGACTCTGTCTCAAAAAAAAAACAAGACAGAGTAGCTAAATGAATTTTTTTAAAGAAAAACGGGACCTAACTACATGCTGTCTATAAGAAACTACACCTCTGGAGATATGTGCAGACTGAAATCAAAGGAACAGGACAAGATATTCCATGCAAATGGAAACCAAAAAGATCAGGAGTAGCTGTACTTATATCATATAAAATAGACTCAGGTCAAGAATAGTATACAAACAATAAAGAAAGCTATTATATAAATATAAAGGTGTCAATACAACAGGGGATGTAGTAATTGTAATATATATGAACCCAATACTAAGGTAAAATGTAAAGCAAATATGAATAGACCTGAAGGGAGAGATTGTCTATAATATAAAAGTAGTAGGGGACTTTAGCACCCCACTTTTAGCAATAGACATATCATCCAGACAGAAAATTAATAAACATGGAGGTTAAACTGTACTTTAGACCAAATGAACCTAACAGACTTTTACAGAACATTCTACCTAACAACTACAAAATACACATTTTTCTCAAAAGTGCATGGAGCATTTGTCCAGACAGATAATATGTGAGGGCATAAAACAAGTCCTAAGAAATTTAAAGTCAAAATTATATTAAGTATCTTTTCTGACCACAATGGAATAAAACTAGAAATCCATGACAGGAGAATTTGACACAGTGGGCACGGGCATGTGAGAAAAAAGAAGAAAGGAAAAAAAAAAAAAACAGGAGCAATGCTGGAAACTCTACAAATACACAGAAATTAAACGACATGCTCCTGAATTACTATTAGGTCAAGGAAAAAATTAAGAAGGAAATTGACATTTTTCTTAAGACAACTGAAAATGGAAATACAACATACAAAAATCTATGGAACACAGCAAAAGCAGTTCTAAGAAGGAAGTTTATAGCAATAAATGCTCACATTGAAAAAGTAGAAAAATGTCAAGCAAGATGACTTGATCTCAAGAACTAGAAAAACAAGAACAAACTTAACCCAAAATTAGTAGAAAAAAGAAGTAATAGAATGGAATTAAATGAAATAGAGATTTTTAAAACAATACAAAAGATCAACAAAGCAAAAAAAAAATTTTTTTTAAATATAAACAAAACAACATGCCTTTAGCTAGACTTACTAAGAGAAGACTCAAATAAATAAAATCAAAGATGATAAAGGAAACATGACAACTGATACCAGAGAAATACAAAGAATCATAACAGACTAGGAACAACTAAATAACAATAGATTAGAAAATCTAGAAGAAATGTATAAATTTCTGAACACATACAACCTTTCAAAATTGAATCATAAACAAATAGAACACCCGAACAGAACAGTAACAAGATTGATGTAGTAATAAAAACTCTCCCATCAAAGAAAAGTCCAGGACCCAATGGCTTTACTGCTTAATTCTACCAACATTTAAAGAAAAACTAATACCAATTCTATTCAAACTATTTCAAAAAGTTAAGCAGAAGGGAATACTTCCAAACTCATTGTCCAAGGCTAACATTATTCTGATTCCAAAACCAGGCAAGGACTTCAAACCAATATCACTGCAAAAACCCTCAACAATATACTAGCAAATAAAATTCAACAGTATATTGAAAAGATCATTCACCACGATCAAGTGGAATTCATCTCAGGGATGCAAGAATGGTTCAACATACACAAATTAATAAAGATGATACACCAAAGTAAAAAATCAAGGATAAATACCATAAAATCATTTTCACTGATGCTAAAAAAGCTTTTAATGAAATTCAGCCTGCCTTCATGATAAAAATTCTCAACAAATTGGACATAGAGGAAACATACTTCAACACAATAAAGGCCATAATGACAAACCCACAGCTAACATCATAGTGAACAAAGAAAAGTTGAAAACTTTTTCTGTAAGATTTGAAGGAAGACAAGGATACCGACATTTACCTCATAATTTCAACATAGTATTGGAAGTTCTAGCCACAGCAGTTATGCAAGAGAAAGAAATAGATGGCATCCAAACTGGAAAGAAGGAAGTCAAATTTTCCCTGTTGGTAGACAACATAACCATATATATAGAAAACCTAAAAGACTCCACCAAAAACTGTTAGAACTAATAAATAAATTTAGAAAAGTTGCAGGATACAAAACCAACATAGAAAAATCAGTAACATTTCTGTATTTCAATAACAAACTAACTAGAAAAATATCAAGAGAGCAATTCTGCTTACAA